CATGCTTTTTCTGATCAGGCAGAATTAAACAGTCTGCACTCCTCTTGTTTACCCTCTGTGCTCACAGCATTTCACATTTGTGCCTCTCTTTGGCACTTACTAGTCTGGTAGCCATTTATTTGTGTATTGCTTCTCTTCCATCATTTCAGTGTAGTTCCATAAGAGAAGGGCCTTTGTTTTGTTCCCTGACATACAGTAAACATTTAGCAAATATTTTTAGAATAAATGAAAGACTGATTTTACCACTGAGAAAACCAAGGCCGAAAGGTCAAAGGATTTTCCAAAAGACGCCAAAGCTTGGGAAAGAGGAGGAGAGCCCAAACACTCAGATTCCATAATCCATATATATACAAAGCAGCCCTCTGGGTCCCTGATGATCTCGATGCTGAACCCATTTGTCTCTGAGGCTGTACAAGGGTTCCTTCTTAATTGGGTCAGATGGTCCAAGGCGCCTTCAGCTTTTGAAGTTCTGTGTTCCATTGGTACACATGTACTCTGATGAGGGATCCTAAGAAAAACCAGATTTGGGGCATCCTTTTGGCTGTAGTCTGATTCTGAGAAATCAGCCTCTGCTAGGAGTGCTGACAGGATTCTGCTTGAAAATATGCACTAATCAGTGGGAAAGAAGAACATTAATCTGAGTCTTGAAATATGAACTGTTCTCCAGGATATACCTGCACAGTGACCACCAGGAGACCAGGGTTCTGTGAAGAGGAAATAAAAGACAAAATTCCAGGTCCAGTTCTGGCTATAGACAGTTCTCTTCTCCTCAGGCTGTCTTTGTATAGCTAATGACAATGAGTATAGGAAACAGGCCAGTGAGTGTTAAGTTATTTTTCTCCTCCCTCAGGTGCCTTCTTTGGCAAGAGCTGAACTTTTGGATTTAGAACACTGGGGTCTGGAATGATACATTCTATCAAGCCTAGCTGGCCAAGCATATTCTACTACATTTAAGACTAGTGTTGAATGGGTTTTGTGGCTTCAGATGATGCTTCCAGGGGATCTAGAAATTTACAAAAGGCTTTTATATACCACATCCCATTAAGTGCTCATAGAATTTTACAGATAAAGGCAAGATTACTCAGAAAGGACCAAGGCTGTATTGTCTAGTTATATGCAGTATCACTAAGATTTTAACCCAAATCTTGTTCTAGAGTTCATACTTCTTTTAGAACCCCTGGGAAATTATTGGCATTTTTCCTGATGTCTCTAAGAAAGTGGGGAGGGTAACAGATGGAAAGGAGCAGATGGCTACTGTACACCTCCCTCTATTCTGACAAAACCCTTCAGGTAATGCTCAGATTCTAGAACTAACCATTTTCTGTTGGACAGAGACTATAACACATCTGCTTCATAGAGGAGAAGAGAGAGACGCAGAGATATAATTTCCCCAAGAACAAAATGATAGAAAGCAGGCTTTTAATCCTATAACCACAAAACTTCAGTATATTGGGAGCTAGGGATATTCTGGGTAAAGCCCTGTTCAGTATATGCAAGGCTCTTGATTCGATCTCCAGACCACTCCCAATTAATCATCTTAGCAAAATGAAGATTAATTTCTCCCTCACCTTCTGCTTTATCATGAATTGACAAAGGGACTCTGTTTCACTCTCACTTGGGAACCCAGGCAGAAACCACTGTAAAGCTGCATCATCTGGAAGTGAAACAGGCACTTAGAAACTCTTTTTGTTTAAAAACATTGACTTGTAGTTTGGGCCTCCAAGGTAACTAAGCGCAGGATAAAAGCTGGCACCTCTGCCTTTATGTTGCATCTGTTGTTTCCCTTTACTTTTGATCACCTGCTTACCTCTGCGCACAGGCATGTTTGTCATTCAAAGAGTGTCTGTCAAGCCTGTCTTATCCCCTTGAAGGCTGAAGGCACAGAGACAAATCATTATCTTAAACCTAGAGTCACCTTGGATTCCAGAAACATCAGAAAAGTGCACAACAGGCACCCCTTGACCCCACCAGATGAGAGCAATTATCTGTGATGGCGAAGCTGCATGCTGGAGCAGGAGTGATCATCTTCTGAGAATCAGATTGATCCCCTGAGGGATAACAATAATAAGAACTTCTTTAGACTACCTTACAGAACCAGAAAAAAGACAACAGACTATATTTTGACCAGGACTGCTTAATTAGCCATACTTGTCATCTGCTCACCCCAATTCTACTTCTAGTTAAACCTAAGCATCATGTAAACTTGGAATCTCTGGATCCCTTTAATTTTTTTCTTCTCAGTTGGGCCATATTAACTCTTTTCTCTGCTTTTCACCATTACTCATCTCTTTAATTGGCTTATGGATATGAGTGACTGAGCCTAGCTTGTTGGGATTGATGAAGTCCAGGGTTTTACCCTAATAGCTCTGATAACAGAATCAATAGACTTCTGTCATTAGAGCAAGAAAAGAAGAAACTGGAACAATTAAATGTTTTGGTTTAGAAATGACATGTTACTTCTGTTTATAGCAAATTGACCAAAAGTAGGCAAGTTGGCATTGCCCAGCAGCCAGGGGCTCAGAAAGAGAGCCTAGCATCAGTAAGCACTAGTCCTCACTTATCAACTTGGCCTGAGCTCTTCATGACCAAGCTATACTTCATCCAGCTTGAGTTTCTCTGGTTAAACTCCCTTAGTATTGTGTTTCATGGATTTGACTCACCTCCTTTTCTGCCCTCTATCCTTATAGTACACATTAAGCAGCCCCATGTCAGGCACTTTGTTGGATAACAAGAATATTAAAATAAACAATGCAGGCTGGGTGTAGTGGTACATGCCAGTAATCCCAGGACTCAGGAGACAGAGCCAGGAGGATTGCCACAAGTTCCAGGACATCCTGGTCTACATTGTGCAACTTGGAGGATCTTGGACTGTAGAGTAAGACTACCTCAAAATAAATAAATAGGTATATAGATAGATGGCAGGTAAAGTAATGCATAGCCTCTGCTTCCAAATGTTCTTCAAGTAATAAGAAAGTGCTAATGCTACCAGTTATGATGATACATCCTTTGATCCCAGCACTAGAGAGGCAGAGGCAAGAAGAGATCTGTGAGTTTGAGGCCAGCCTGGTCTATATAGTAAGTTCTGGGGTCATCCAGGGATACATAGTGAGACCTTGTCAAAAAAACAAAACAAACAACAAAAGCCCAAACAAATAAAAAAAAGTATTAATGTATCATACACAAAACCCTATGATCAAAGCATTAGTTAAAAATGCATGATCAGCTTGGGGCTTCTCAGGAAGGAAAAGGATGATTACTGAGTTAGGTAAAGTTTTTTAGATAGGAAGGCCTTTGAGGTGGGTCCCCCAAGTAAGTAAACTTGGCAATGAGACGATCAAGGGCCCCTACCAGATGGAGAAAAGTGCTTAGGCAGAACTAGAGGCAGAAAGTGCAGGGTAAGGCATGATCCCATTTGCCTGGCTTGATAGCAGGGAATGTTCTGAAAAACAAAGGTTGAGTGATCTGATTCCTTGGGAGAGTGATCTGAGGTCATGTCCTGGAGGACTTAGAACTTCTCACATTGATGAGAAAGTACAGAAAGGAACTATCTGAACCTAGGCTAAGTCTCACAAGAAGAAAGTAGCTTTTTAAGCTTCCTAATGCTTGTTGATAAATGTCATGCCATTATTATTTGCTTAACATACAAAGACAAGTATGTCCTGTGTGGCTGCCTTTAGGCTCAGAAGGGTAAGTTTAGATCTTTGAGCCAGAAGTAGGGCCCTGTACAGTCTTGTACCATTGTACATGCTGGCCCTGTGCAGTGTTCTAGGTGCACACGGCATAGGAAACAGAACACACAAGTAGACACTTAGAACAGGAAGCATTCCACCCAGTACCTCTTGCTCTAATGCAATTTACCTGTGCTTCCATGCCTACCTAATCTTGCAGCTTGTCCTGCCTCCCCACAGCTTTCTGTTTGTTACTGGATCTCATCAATGATGCTTTTTAAACAAAAACAAAAACAAAAATCAAATAAACAAAACTCTGAATCAGTGCAACTTACCCAGCTGTGGTCTTTTAGAGTTACCCTGCACCTGGGCCTCTTATTCGCTGGCCAAATGCCTCCAAAATTCAGCTCCCATTGCAGCTACACTCTCCTGGGCCACAGCCCCTGAGCTGAAATCTCCAACCCTGTTTGAAATGACCTGCATCCACACAACACCTTATACCTAATATGCATAGTGCATGTACTCTACCAACTGAGCTATACCCTGAGACCTGCATACTTTCATTTTTACTTCTCACATTCTGTCTCTAGCTGTTTTGTGTTCCTTGTGAACAAAAAGGCTCCTGTGAACAGTCTTGACTTTGCTTGGCCTTTAACTGGATGAGGAAAACAAACTCTTGCATTTCTCCAAAGACTTATATAGATTTCAAATCATTATCTGAAAACAGTTCCAGAAATCCTCCAATAGTCCTGTGAGGTGAGTGATGTGAATGCCAGCACTGGGGAAGGGCATGTGCCAATGCACAGTCTGCTTCTGCCCTCTTTCATTACAAGCTCAAAAGGTCAAAGACCTAGAGACTCTTTTCTGCCCAGTTCACAGCATTTTGAAACATGAAATCAACCTGGCTGCGCACTCACTCACAATTCCTGTGGGATCTGATTGCAGATGCAAAGCCTCTTGTTTTCTCATCCTCACAATCAGATTTGGCACAGAGCATTCTGATGCCACAATAGCACAGAGTTCCTGTTCATTCTGGAACTTCCAGAATTTTCCTTGGGCTCCTGTAGCAGTCACAAACTGATGAATAACAGTGCTTATCATGTGTCTTGAGGATGATATAAATATATCTTTGAAATCTGAATCCCCAACCTGGACCATTTGACTTTTTAAGTAAACCTGGACCAGCAGCCTTTTAAGTAATTAACTGCTCATGTATTAAATAACACAAAACATGGTACTTTTAAAAACATTTATATTTATATATAAAATTAAATATATAATATATAGTGTGTTTAAGACTAAAAATATAGTACATAATATTTTTTTTAAAAAAAAAGGAAAGAAAAGGTCAGAATAGGAAAAGGTGTAAAGGACACACAGATACACATTGCTAAAAATCTACGATGGTTTGGCCTAACAAAAATAATATTTTCTTTCTCTTAATTTTCCTCATTGTTTCATTGATCATTGGGATTTGGGTGGAGAAAATTCAATGGGAGCCATAAATAGGGATAGCAATGCCAGAAGTAGCCAGGATAGAAAATTTGACTCCAGGAGCCCTGGGCTTCTTCTTCCTGATAAACCTGGAGGTAGCACAATCTTGTGGGCCACTTTTGCTACAGAGCTTGTCTTACTGTTCATTGTATCAGCAATTTTAATGTTTTCTCCCCACAGTCTCCTGATGTTCACAGGGGCTACCTATAAACAACTCCAGAAACCAACAGAAAAACCAGGCCACCACCTTGCAAAGGCTAGTGGTCAGGGACAGCAAAGAACCAGAATGGGGCACAGCAGACTGGCAAGAGTAAGTACTATGCACATGAAGTTATTACTATTACTAAGGGTGGGTTTGTACCAGAACTTCTAGTACGGCCTATGACTTTTGTGCAGCAATTATTTTTCTCTGAGGAAAGGGGCTGGGCTCCCTCCCAATGATACAAGAAAATGAGATTTTTGTACCCAGTTCTCAAATTCATACTCTGCCAAGTCACATACCTCAGTCCTCTCCACTGGCCTACAGATGGTGTCAGTACCAAGCTGTCAAAAGAGAGCTGCTGCTGCTCAGAAAGTTTAGCCTTGAGGGGAGGAAAAATACCAGGGGAATGGGGGAGGAGGCAGGGAGGAGGAAATGCTATATTTACGTGATAGATTTATAGCCTTTTCACCAAAATCAATACCACTCCAATGGAATCTTCAGGTTCATGTACCTCAGTGTTCTATTATCAGCTTTTCATGATGCTCTCACCAGGGTCAGGAGCTTCCCTAATTGTGGTGACTCCCCCAGCACACAGAACGGCCTACATATGTACAGTATCTGGGCTCAGACAACACAGAAATGAAATGGTGGAGAAGTCAAGTTTTTGAGCTTGTGGTAGCCTTGGGAGGCCAGGGAGCTCAGCCATAGGGACAAAATCTTTCACACAGCAGGATGAGGTAGTGACTAGAGTCCGTGTACTCCACATGTCCAAATAGGGTCTTGGCTTTAACATGACTTTCTTCAAATTCTAATTGCCTACGATTGTTATGGAATGGGTCAAGTATACAGGGACCATCCAATTCTAACTTAAGAACACTTATGGCATGAGGGCAAGACATTCTGCAATGTGCTCCATCCCACAGGGCAGGAAATGTTCCTATGAGGAAAGCAGCTGCGGGTATGAGAAGAGTAGATTGCTCAGAGATGGAGTAGTTGAGCTTGTCTTTCTCATTCCAAGCCAGATATTTCTAAGAGTTTAGTATTGCTCACATCCCTGGCTACTTTCCTTTCTTTCATCATGGGCTTTGCTTTGTGCAAACTCTATGGTTAGATTTGGAAGGAGCTAAGACTCAGCATGCAGGTTGGACCCTCTACAAAGAACAAGGCTTGCTGAGTGAAAAGAACCTCTTGCAATCCAGAGCAATTAGAGCAATTAAACCCCTTCCTCCCTCTAACAGCTTCCCTTTGGATCAGCAGGAAGGGCCAGTTGCATTCACTCCTGTCTTCTGGTTCAAGAATCCTGGGACTGTAGGGTTCACCTTGCTATGTAGGCAGAGGGAGCTGTCTTTGGGTCAGGTGAATGCTCCAGAAGACCAAGTAGAGGACAGCTGCTCTTATCTACCCCACAGGTACCTGCTGTCTGCCTCTTTGATAAAGAAAACAAATTGTACTTTGCCATGACCACAAGAAACCTGTTTAAGCAAAGAAGAGAGCAGCACAAATAGCTTCATTTCACTCAGGTTTGGGTGACTGACAGGGTCAAGAAACTTGTGGTGAAAGCTTATTTCAATAGGAGACTACCTCAAGGATGGGCAGTTATAAACCCTGCTTCTCTAGATGAACATCAAACACAGAACAGTTCTAGGTGAAGATCAGAAAATTGGGGGAAATGATAACAAAGAGATCAAGGCTATTCAACAAATGGTGGTATCTGTAGAACTGGAACCTGGGTCAATTGACCTCTGTGTATTACTGTTAATATCATGTATTACTGTTAATATCATGGGTGCTTAGAATCACCAGGTATTGTGATACCAACATGCTGGAAGACTCCAGTCTCAGACAAAAGAGCCCTGTGATCAAGGGACCTCCAACTCCCCAGACAAGCACTTCTATTGGCCTCTAGCAGGTTCACACACTGATTCTGATTGCAAAGTGTGAGTGGCAGGGGATAAAATTGTGTCAGTTGCTGATACCACCCTGTGCATTGTATAGTGCTTGATAGCCACAATTTTCCTGTGGTGCTTGACCTTAGTGTTGATTTTATCATTTAAATGCAAGGAATCTACTATAGAAATCAAAGAGAGATAAGACAATCAAGCGAAATCCCAAACAAGATGAGTTTTAGGGACTATTGCCGCTTACATCACTGTATTTAGACTTAAAGTGTTTAGAGTATTCATGGTTTCAGGTGTCAATGAAACTTAAAGTTGCATGACTTTGTATGCACAAGAACCTACGTCTTAAACATACCTTCTTGCTGAGCTCTCATGAAAAAGCTCTGTAAGTATGAGTCTCCTGAACTGGAATACAGATGCAAGCTTGTTAGTACTCTAGGTAGGCCCTACTCTTTGGGGGTACACTGGCTGGAGAAGAGAAATCAGAGGCAGCATGCCAGACTGGAAATGGAACTGCTTGCTTCCTGGGATATTATCTGATCCTTACCAGCAAGAAGATGGCTGAGAATGTCACCCCACAAGCTCATCTGTAAGAATGGTGATGGCCCATGGCTAATGAGCATGCAACTCATTAAAGCAAACATGACTAAGAGAAAAGGCAAGGAGTATTCTGGGAACTGCACCAGAATCCCCCTCCTGGCTTCAGGGAGGGAAGTGGACTCTAGGTAGGCTGAAGCTTCATGAAAAGGTGGGTCCAGGACAGGGGTAGAGGTTTTCTTTGATCAGAAAATGGTGAATGAGAAGCAGTATGGAATGTGTGTAAGCATATGTGCATGCTGTGTGGGAAAAGGAATCATGGGCTGTGGAATGCTTGCAGTGTTCTTCTGCACTGGGGTCTCCATCTGGATCAGTAGGACTTCTCCTCTAGGGTCATTTCCAGGCCCTCTTTCCTTCACATCCCCTTCACTTGTCCATCCTTGGAAATTAATACAAAACAGCCTGAAGCTCGTAAGTGCCTACTCCACACACAAAGACAACATCCAAAGCCTGACATTCAAGGCACTGATGGAAGAAGGAATCTGATTGATCCAATGGGGCAGGAGGAGAGGACAAAACCCAAAACTTGTCTAGTTAGAGTACCTTCCATGCTCCCTGAAAGGTGGGCCTCTTGGGTGAGGCCCAGGGTAGACAGCAGAGTCTAAGTGTCAGGAGCCTCCCTAACTCTATGAGAGCCCACCTGTAGGCAGGTCTTACCACTTGGATGCAAAATGGATTCAAAGTGCTCGGGGACAGAACTAGTAACAACAGAAGATGTTAGGAACCTGGTAGAGAACAGGTACCCCTTTCCTTTCCACAGGGACTTGTATTTGGGTAACCTTGAAAAATGAAGTTTTCACTGCTTTGTTGTTGTTATCTTTGAAAAATAATCTACGGCACCACTATTCTACCTTACTCCCCAAGCAGGCTCAAGAGTTAAAGCCAGGAAGTGGGAGTGAAAAATGGGAAAGAAGGGAACTTATGCGGCTCCCTCTAGTGTTACATATGAGAACTGCCATGCAGCACACAGTGGTCACTTGCTGGTCAATCAGAACATAAATGGTTGTGACTGTTCTTTCTTTAGCACAACCAGGACATATCTGACTGTTCCAGCAGAAAGGGGAAGAAAGGGAACAGAGGGCTACTGGGGATTTCTGGAGCCTTCTGTACACTGACAAATGGCCACAGTAGCAGCCAGGGTGACTGGCATTTTGACTCCAACTGACTGAGAGCTGGATTTGAATTCATTGTCAAGGCTGTTCTGTAGACAAGAGACCAAATAAACCCAATGTCCCATTTACAACGCCTTGAGATGGGAGAGATAAACACAGAGTATGAAAGCAAGCAAGAGAGGGACTGGTGGGCTATCCCATGTTCCAACTGCTTAGGCTAGAGTCACCTATTCCCATTGCTTATGTCCCCTAGGTCAAAACTTGCCTACCTCTGCATAATATCATGCCCACTTATGGGATATCAGAGGAATGGGACAGAAAGGGAATGCTAAAAAGTATCCTCTCTCCTCTTCCAAACCTTCATTTACCCTGCCCCCACATTAGGGTCAGGCAAGAACACAGGTCAGAAGAGACATCTTCCCAAAGAAGAGAGACGGGCAGGCCCAGAAGACTGAGGCATGCACAGAGCACCATCCTCAGTATGGGGTGTTTCTGGGAGATATGCTCCTTATTTGTAATGGCAGGAGGAAGAAGGCTGGGTCCAAGAAAGGAGCAATGAAAAATGCCCCTGAATGTCAGGGAACAGCTGGAAAGCCTTCTCCTCTGCTCCGCAGAGATACCCCAGCCAGGCTCCAGCCTCTACACATGAGTTTGCATACGCTGCTGGAATCGCTGGCCATAGTCTGAGTGCTGGGAGGTGTAGGAGAACCGAGTGGCTGTGGCATACTTCCCAATGGGGTCATATGCCTCATAGGGGGTCCTCTCCAGGCCAGAGGATGAGGCCTGGGGGTAGCCTAGTCGGTAGGTAGGATACCCAGCTGCCCCAGGGAAGGGGTGGGAGTTGAACTTTTCATAGTTCTCATAGGACAGCTGACTGGTTGTGTCAGTGCCACCAGGGGCTGAAGGACCAGAGGGTGTGGGCTCTGTGCCATAGTCAGAGGTAGGGGCCCGGCTGTAGGTATTGAGCTGGGCATAGCCACTGGAATGAGAGAGGCGGGATGATGGACGGCCATCAAAACGGGCAGGGCCAGGGGCACGGTAGTCAGCATACAACACTGCCCTGGAGGATGGGCGATCTTCATGAGCTCGTACATTGTAATAGCCATTGGTGGGATCCTGCAGGGCAATGAGAGAAGAAGACGGATGTGGGAGTTTGCTCTAGGGTGATTAGATCTCACTATTGCCTCTTCCCGAACCCTGTGCTACCTTAGTCCCATTCTGTACCACTCTCACCTGCTCTTCTCCTTCTGCAGGCCTCCTGACCTTCCCTGCCTGTCTTCACCTCCCCCTCTACACCTTCCCACCCCATTTCCCAGCTAGACCTTATGCTTCAATTCCTTCACCCACCTTCATTTCATACTCTTCCCGGGTGTCGATGGTGTCACAGCGCAGGTCCTGTTTCAAATCCACATCGTCCTTAAAAGACTAAAGAATAGGAGTGGGTTTGAGGACACAAGGACTCTGCTTGTATCCCCTTTAGCAATCCTGTGGTCACAGGACACCTAAGGGAGGGTCTGAGGTTGGGGGCTGATTTGTGTCTGAATCTTCTCATAGCACAGGATGTGGTAGGAAGATGCCAGAGATCTGGCTTATAGTACAGATTTTGTTGTTAACATCGACATGATACTCAGGCATGCCATTGATACTGTTAGGACCAATGAGGAGGTTGGACCAAAAAATTCCTAAGGATGTCCCTCTGTGTGAGGGAAAGATGAGGCAAAGGAAGCCTAAGGAAAACTATCCCCTATCCTCTGCAGGGGACAAATTAGCTTAGCATGTGTATGTATAAGTATATATGAATAAGTGTGCATGAGTGTGTGAAGTATATGTACAAGTGTGAGTGTGTCTATGTGTAAGCATGTTGGTGTATAGGAGTATGGTGGCAGGAAAAGGGTAAACTCATTGAGTATGGAGAGGTGACAGAAGTTTGAGACTGTGTGGGTGCTGGCCTTAGGAGTGTGAAGAGAACACTAGGCCAGGAAGAAGCAGGATTCTTACGGAGTAGATGGCCTTCATGACCCGAGTTGCTGTGGAGACGCTAGCAGTGTCATCCTCCCTGTCAGAATGCATCGTGAGTGGCTCCCGGTTCACTGTCTCCACTTTGATATCCAACTTCCTCAGGGTCACGTCCTTGCGACCTGGGACAGGAAGATGTGACTGGACCAGATGCTTTCTACTGGTCTCAGCACTGGCTGCTTCCAGTCCCAACCCCTGCTGATCTTGAAGGGAAGGTCTCAGGAGTGGAGTATTGGGATTGTGCAGGACTTGTACTCACTGCCTTTGCGACGTCGGTAGAGGAAGAACACCAAGGCAACGAAGGAGAAGATGAGCAGGATGCCTGCCCCAATGGTGGCCCCAGCAATGATGCCCACAGGTAACACCTCTTTAGACAGGGGGAAGGAAAGGAGCAGGATGAGGATACAGCCATACAACGATCTGATCATAATGCTGTTGGCTGAAGACTCAGCCACAAGATACTATGATTATGTTTTTTGTATAGGGCTAAGTTGTGCCTGGGCTGTGTGATATCTGAATCCAGGTCATATCAGAAAGACCTGGGCTGAGGTTGGGTTGGAATCTGTGCTTCAGTTTGACCAGAATTGAAGTTATGTTGGTGTCCCATTCCCGTTACCAGTTGGATTCAACTGTCTCTCTCTATATATATTTAACCCACCTATCCATAAGGCATGGTCCTTCTTTCTTGAGCTGGGTTCTTGTTTGAGGTCAAATGTCCCCAGCCTCTAATCTGTCATTTGTGCTCCAACCTCTTTTCCTGCCTTTCTTGCCTGCACAATTGTCCTGCCCCATCTGTATTGACCATGGTTCCTTCTGCTTTCCCTAGCTGAGAAGGAGCCCAAGAATTCTCCCTTTGACCTTCTTTCTCCCAAAAAGCCCTGGGTGGATCCAGATCCTGCTTTGGGTTCTTTGCCTCTGAAATATTTCCCTGATGAACCCTATATTAATTCTTCTCTGTACCCCACACTCACCCTGTAGGCATCATCAACTGTCATGAACTGATAGCATCCCCAGCCATTTCCCAAGAGTATCACAGGTTCCCTCATCTCTGACTAGTACTCAAAAATAAACAAACAAATGCTACCTTTTCCTCATCAAAAGCTTCAGTCAAAATTCATACCTCATTCACCTTGCCAAGTGTGCCACCTCTTTTTTTTTTTTCTATCAAACCAAGGAAGCCTGAAGAGGTATAGGACCTCTTACTTACTAAACACCTATTATGTGCCAGGCATCCCATAAATATTCCATTCAATTCTCTCAGTAACTCAATAAGATGGGTAGTGCTACTCCTTTGTATAGCTTGCTTGATTTTTCTCTGAGTTTATTTGTTTCCACTCTGTACATTTCTTCAGTAAAGTGAAAGTTTCTTGTGGTCAGGGACTATATCTTATTACATACGAAACCTCCTAGCACATGAAGATGTTCAATAAGCATTCACAAAGTAAATTAATTAGCTGACCACCAAAGCCAGCTTTTTTCTTCTCTTCAGCAGGGAGGAGAGAGAGAGAGAGAGAGAGAGAGAGAGAGAGAGAGAGAGAGAAGAGAGAGAGTTATTTCTCTTTGAATCTTGCTGGGCAGTTGAGTTGGCATGGCTGACCTTTCTCTTCCAGCTGGATGATGGCAGTGCCAGGCCCAAAGCTATTCCAGGCAGTACAGTTGTAGTGGGTCTGGAAGTCGGCCTCCATGACATTGTTGATGGTGAGTGTTGACAGCACCCCACTGCCTGAGTTAGTCCTCTCCACAGTGTAGCGTTCCAGGGTCCCCACCTCCAGGAAATTCTCCTTCCATGCCCATGCCTGGAGTAGGGAGGGCAGGAAGGAGGTAAGAAAGGGGAATGTGCCAAAGCACATGCCAGAAAACAACTAGTCCACTCTCATGTATCCTTACACAAGCATATGTGTGTTCTGTGTGTCACCAAGCCCAGCCGGTACTTACCCTGAAATAACCTGTCACACCAACTGCCACAAACTCTTGACACTGAATTTCTACTCCAGGAGTTGTGGCTCCCATACACAATGGATGTCAAATTTACCTAACGTGACTCTGAAAACTACAACCTTGAGTATAAATGGGGGTGGGGGGTGCTAGGCATCTACTTCCATAGTGATCTCATGTGATGTGGAGGTGGGTCAGCTAATGAACAACCAATATTTGGAACCTTGGATATGGCAGAAAAATTCTAGATTGGGGAGATCACTGGGCTCCAGTTCATCTGTGCTACCCGATGGCTTCCCTATGTGGTCTCCCCTTCTCACTCCAGGCCTCAGTTCTGTGAGGCAAGTCTCCTGGGAGCCAAACTGTTTGCTGCCTGGGCAGTTGTACTAATGAAGTGTCCCCAGCCCTGGAGTTAGGCAAATGGTCATGAAACGTGATGAGAGGTTGGATGGTTAATGGTCACGGGAGAAATTAATGGTTTGTGCTTGTAGGGAGACAGGAGTGAGGAATGGTGAAGGCATGATGCGAGCAAGGCAGGAGAAAGAAGAGAATAGTGGGGCAGGTAAGAGGAAGAACTGATGGGGAGGGAGAAAGGGGCAGGTTGAAGGAAGGAGTGAGGAGGGGAGGGGAAGAAAGATAAAAAGGCTAGGAGGCACAGCAAGGACAGAAGATGAAGGAAGAAAGGGCACGAGCCATCGGCAAGGAGAAAGTACAAAGGATCTCATTATGATCACGCTCCCAGGTGTTCCACTAGGCTCTTCACAAAAACTGCTGATGACTTCTCAGGGGAGTCCTATAGAAAGGAGTTATGACCTCTTCTTTACCGATGAGGAAACTGAGTCCAAGCCAGTAATCAGAGTCACACAAGCAGGGGAGGAGGTGGAATTTGAGCAGATAAAATGATAAAGGAACTAAAAAGCAGAAGCTAAAAAAAAGACCAGAAAAAGGATGGGGAAACTGAGAATGCAAGCCAAAAGAAGTGAGGGGAAGTTGGGCAAGTATTAGGCACCAAAGCCAGTCCCAGCACTCACAATACGATCTGGGGGTGGAGTGCTCCCGATGAAGCATTCTACTTTGCCACCATCACCCCTCACAGCATACTGTACCGCCTCACTGGAGATAATGGGGGGCCCTACAAGCAAGAAGACACAGTCAGGCCAGTCAGAAGCTTCAGTGCCTGCCCACCAGGCTCCACCTACTTAGGGCACTCACCATTCACATAAAGTGGCACCTCTCGCTCAGCCACTCCAATTCGAGGCACAATGGCCCGGCAAGTGTAGGTGCCAGCATCTGCCTGGGTCACTGACTTCAGCAACAGCTGGTTACTGTTACTCAGGACCTGGGCAGAGAGAGGAGCCTCGGGTGGGGAGCCAAGAGGCCTGGGCCCCTAGGTCCATGAAGGCCCCACATTGGAGCATGGGAAAGAAAGCAGGAAGGGCCACAAGTGAATTCCCAGAAGGGATATGGGTTCTGAAGTCTGGTTGATCTACTCCATAACTCTAAGTAGGCTGGCCCTGAAGCACACCTTCTGTGCAACAGTGGGGATATGATGGCTACAGTAATTTTAAAAGGATACGGTCTTTTCTGATGATCTGTTTTGCTGTTATCACCAAACCAGGTAAGACAGTTTATTCTGAAACTCCTCTCTATAATTCTGACCCAAATTGGCTAATGTGGATTTCTGGAACTGTGGAGTCAAACATTCTTTGCTCTGCTGAGGTGTCCCAGCTTCCCCACCTCCCTGTGCACTACCAATTCACTACTACAGCAAAGCTACCTTGGATCCTTTCCCCTCCTCCCACTCAACCCTGAGTTCTATGAAATCTCCAGCAAGAATGGGTGAAGTTAACTGTAAGTATTATCCTTCTCTGCCAAATCCCAAGACCCTAGAAATAGCCCAGCTTTGATTTGAAACATAACCCTGACTCTTCCTTGTCTGCACTGCAACACGGTAGCCATATCCCTTCCTCCCAGCACTCAGGATAGGCGGGGAGGAGCTTACCATGTTTGAGTCCTTCTTGGTCCATGTGAGGGTAAGAGGGGGATTCCCAACCCAGACACAGGTGAGGGTCACATCAGAGCCAATGTCTGTGGTTGTGGGTTTGGGGTCAACTACAATCCGGGGGGCAACTGAAGGAGAGAGAAACAACTGGTCAGATCTCAAGTCCCTTAAGAGTCAACACCAGTTTACCTTCTTTCTCTTGCCTGGCCACCTCCCTGTTTCCTTCCATCTCTACCAGCTTCATGAAGCTTTTCCTCCCCCCTACTCAAGGCTCTTTGAAGGCCCTTGCTATGTGTTCCCTATCCTTACTCTCCCAGCTACTCACAGTGGACATTCACTAAGGTGCTGACATTGGTGCTCCCCACTTTATTGTGGACCTCACAAGATACAGGCTCCGTGAAGAAGGAATAATCAACATTTGTCTCATAGCGACTCTCATGGGCATCTTCAATTAAAAATCCCCCCTTGGCCCACCTAGAGGATGAAGAAGCATAGGCATGAGATCAGAACTTGGAACCTTCTCAACTATATCCAGGGACCCAGACCTTCCCAGTACCCCCCACCAGCAGACTCAAGGGCCTCTTCATTAAACCTCAGACAGCACTCCCACCCCCTGGCCCTTTCACCTGTAGCCTAGGATCTCAGGGTTGGCTGTAGCCTGGCATGTAAAGATGACCCGCTCACCCTCCTGCACTGTCTGAGGCTCAATGGACAGGGTCACTGTAGGAGGGTCTGCAAAGCAGAGGATAGGAAGTTAGGGTCTTTTCTATCGGTGGAGTTTCTCCCTTTCTCTCTTTAACATATACATTCAGACCTCACCACTCTAGTGAGGCAGAATACTAGCTATCATTTTCACTTTTTCCACATACAGCCTCTAAGGAGCTGGGCTAGCCCAACACACCACCCAAGAATAACTAAATTATTCAATGGATGTAATGACACAACATGGCCACGAGGCGTCAGTGTGGATTAGTTTGGCTCTCTGAAAGAGAGTAGCAGCAAACCCACAGAGGAAATTCATGGAACATCTGCCAGAAAAGCATGGGCTTTGCTAAATCTAATCATGCTAGATACTTTTATGCCATAACTTATTTAATGCTCACAGCTTCACGAATGGTCCATGGTTCCTTATATGAAATCCTTGGGACTGGATATGTTTCAGAACCTGAAACTTTTCAAATCTTAGCAAGGAAGAGCTGTGCTATACTCTGTGCTAGGGAAGATGCACCCTTCAGCAGCATCTGGGAAACAACCCATAGTGACACATATGAATATATATGCAGTGAATCTGACACAGGTAAAATAGAGTGCAGCCACCACTTGGAAAGTTCAAGACTAATCTAGGACCATCTCAAAAAGATGACCACACATTCCACACACACATACACACACACCAGACATACCAAACACTAAACATACAGACATCAAGCATATTATACATGCACACACACACACAAACCAGGGTTCAAATTTTTACTGTCTAATTATTTTAGTTTGGAACCATGGATATAAGATCACAGGCCTGTATTTTACCTTCTTCAACCATACAGAATTAGAAACTGAGTCTCAGAAAGATTAATCATTCATTTAGACCTGAGGCGGCCTTACAGTAAATACTCCATTTACCAGCCATCATTGCCCACTGCTCAAACCAGGAACTGAAGAGGATGAAGGGAGCATTCATCTTGAGCCCACTGGAGGATTCTCATTCTGTGTTTTTAAAATGCTACTGCTTATGTTCTGTCCCCATTTTGTGGACCCAACATCCCCCTCCCAATACCCCACTTACGATGCACGTCGAGCTCAATGGATGTCTCTTTGCCATTAGGGATGGCTTCATTCATGCTGCGGCAGGTGAATATGCGCCCTATGTCTAGGTCTGTGGGGTCAATGAGCAGCTGGCTGACGGTGGTTTCCCTTTTCCCATCCTTCAGCACTTCCTGTGGATGCAGCAAGATATGGTCAAGCTAAAACCCCCTTCCTCTGCTCTCAGAGGGACCAACTGAGAGCTGGAACTTACAGCTCAGTCCCATCTCTGATTCTTACTTCCTCTTTAAAAGCAGTATAGGCTACTTTCAAAAGCATATTTAAGTTTACAGAAAAATTGAATAAGTACTTTTCACATACTTTCCTTTCCACCTTGATTTTTTTAACGTCTTATAATATAGTATGATAAGTTTATTTCAACAGATATTCAAATACTGACATTAGATATTAATAACTGAAGTCCATAGCCCACATTAGAGATCACGGTGTAATTTAGTTTTCTCTGTGGGACTGAGCCTCATTCCTGGAATTCTCTAAGCCCAGGGTAAGTTCCTCCTCTTCTGAAAAGCCTTCCCACGTCAGTGCAGGCCTCTAGGCTCTCTCTCAGCCCGAACTGGTGCCATTTAAAGATAGGCTGCCTTGCATTTGGCTTTCGGCACCATGTGAGTGTTTCAGTGTGAATCTCTCCTGAGAAATTGGAAGCCCTTTGAGGGCAGGGACAGATTCATAAGGCACAAAAAATTACTAGCTCAGTGACATCCCAGGTGCTGTTCCTGAATGTAGAACCTTCAAGCCATTTTCTATATTGTCACCAGCCTAAGAAAACCACACTATGAGCAAAAGTAATCCCCTACATCCAGACACATGCATTTTTTAGGGGATCACAGCAGCCCAGACCAGTGTAAAACACACATGGTATTTTGAAACATCATACTCTTAAAATAAAAAAGTGGGGGTGGGGGGTAAACAAAAAATGACATTAATGAATCAACTTGCTTGGCTACCAAAATATTTTTTAAAATATAGCCCTCTAGAAGAAAAATAAAAGTTCCTGGTAGTAAAAAGGTTATGCCTCACTGAGGCCAAATGGCCATTTATCAGATGGTGACATTGAAGCCAGAAAGATTAAAAGTGATTTTTCCAAGGTCATGCAGATCATTAAGGACAGAGCTAAATCCAGAACCAAAGTTCCACAGGGCTAACACTCTGAGGAACACAGGTGGGCATCCTCTCTCCCCACTGGAAGTGTCTCTTATAGCACCCAGTACATTTTTACCCTAACTGACAGAAGGGTCCTCAAGTGCAATATCTGGATTTTACTGACATATCGGCTATCAGTTTTCCCATGGGATCCTGGCCAAAGTCACTTAACATCTTTAGCTGTCATGTCTTCCTCATTTGAGAATGTGCATAACAACTCCAGCTTCCATAGCTTCTCAACTGTGCTGACTAGAGTAATGTGCCAACTTAATGCTGAAGGAAGATGGTAGAATGGATCAATGGAGATACAGCAGTCAGACTCAGATACAGTTCTGCTGCTTATCAGTTGTATAACCTTGGGCTAGACACGCAATTCTCTGACCATCAGTTTCCTCCTTTGTAAGTTGGAAGCAGCATCTACTTTATGGGACTCTTGTGAAGTTTAAGAGAAATTGCCCATAAAGTGTTCATCATGCACAGTACCTAGCATCCAATTGAAGTGCTCAATTAATGGCAGCTATTATTATTATTATTACTATTATTATTCACTTCTACTTAGTTATGGAATGGCACAGTGAACCTGGAAGCCCATTTATCTTCTCTGGGCCTCAGTCTTCCCAACTGTAGGATTAAAGAATTGGGTCAGATGACTTACGAAAGGCCTGTGTTGCCCCTGTGTGTAGTCAGATCCCTCTGGGAAAAGAAAGGTGACCTGCGTGTGGTTGGGCCTAACAGGGGCCAGGGGAGTGGGAAGGTTCTCACCGTGCTAGTCACAGCCCCCTCTTGTTGTGTCCCATCCCGGAACCAGATGATGGTGGCAGCAGGCTTGGCATTGAGAGCTCGGCATGTGAGGTTGTGGGGAGTGCCTGCTTGCAGCAGAATCACTGGACCTCCATCAATTCTAGTGTCCTCTGGGGGAACTGAGGGGAAGACAACAACATCAGTCCAGAATGCAGCCCATAGGAGTCTCTGCTATGGAGGTGTTCCTACATCTGTGTGCACCCCTCTAGGCCGGGCAGTGCCACCTTGGCCCAACTTAAAATCACTATCTGTTTCTCACATGATGACTTCATCCAAAGTCTTCAGACACAAGATTTCCCAGCCTACAGGTTATTCTTTCATACTCACTATTACAGTCTGGGACCGTACTTCCCACTATTGCTCAAGGATATCTACTTCAGTTGGAGGAAAGGACTGAACTGAACTGTCTGAAGGTCTTGACTACAGATCACAACCTGGAGAAGAGTGCGAAGCACTCTTTCACAGGGCTTCTTACATCTTATCCCCTCTGCCTGGGACACCCAGATGGGGAGCCTTCTTTCAGCAATGCCATTTATTACACAGGTTATTTTCTCCTTAGCAGTTAAGATTCAGGTACAGTGCTACTCCCCTGTTCAGACACTTTCAGTGAATACAGTCATCTATGGCATGATTTTAAAGCCCTTTGGCCTCTTATTTCAGGGATCCTCACCCCAAGCTCTGCACACCCTTACCTCCTTGCTTTTGCTGTTCTCTCCATGGAGCATGCCCTTCTCTCAGAGCTGCTGTGGACAATCCTGGTCAAATCCCAGGGGATGCAGAAAGCTTCCCGTGTCCACTTGCAGCAAGCAGTCTCAGCTCTTAGTGTTGCCTGCCCCATGGTTATGTTTGATGATTATCTTTCTCTGCCTTAACAGAAACTCTTACCCCTTGGCAAAACAGCCAGGAATCACTAATATTTATGCATAGTCTTTAGTGCCCAGTACGTGGATAAGACAGGCCTTTACGAAGTCCTTAAGAAATTGAATTGATTATGTCTGGTCTTAGAAATAGGGTGATTTTCCTACACCATTGTCTCCAGGCTTCTAAATACTAAGGTGAACCAGACTCCAAGTTCTTTAAGGGCAAGGGTTCTAAGTTTCTGAGGTCAGGGAGTTCTTTCTTTTCCTCGTCCTCGTCCTCATCCTTGCTCCCCTTCCTCCTCCTCCCTCCTCCTCCTCTTCTTCTGCTTCCTCTCTTCCTCCTCCTCTTCCTCTTCTTCTTCTTCCTCTTCAGACATAGTCTCTCCACATAGTCTAGGATGGCATTTAATTCATGATCCTCTGCCTTCACCTCCCAAGTGTGGGAATTAGAGATATGTTCCAGTATAGCCAGCTCTATTCTTAAATCCCAATGTCTAGTCAGAACTTGGTGAACAGTGAGTCCTTAGGGGCTATTGGCTAAATCAATTGCCATTGATGGGATAAAGGCAGAAAGATTCTGATAATAATCATCTAGGCCCACTCAGTGTTCACTAGCAGAAGTGAGAAAGGATTTTGTTTGCCTCTTTCTGAGAAAGATAAGGAAAGCTGAGAAACTTTCGAGGGGACCCTTGGGAGGAGACCTCAGGGACTTCATGGAGCTGGAGGAGGTCAGAGCTATACTGGTATGTGTAAAATGAAGATCTCTGTGCTGGACTTCCAGTAGCTGACACACCTTTCTATTCAACTCTTGCATGTTGAGTGGTAGAGTGGAGAAGGAATGGAATTTAGAATCGCCTGCCTGGTTTCAAACCTGGCATTTTTCTTTACCATCATGTGGTCTTGACTGACTGAGTCTGTTTCTTCCTTAAAGACCTAAAAAAGCCCCTTCTTCACTGGTCTGTGTTAGGTGCCATATAGAAAGTGCAACATACGGGGCACTTGTGATGTAAAATGTGCTAACTTTACAATGATGAGAACTAGCAGCGGCTCTGGCTTCTGCCCAACCACTTATCCTTTCAATTCTGCCTCCTTATCCTCCTCCTTGTTTCTCAGTGTATCCAGTGCCAGAGATGGGGCAGATTTGTAGATGGAGGTGAGAGTAACTTGAGAAGCAGAGAAATGGGGAAGGATCCCTTGGGCTGCTTGGTCCTCTGTGGTCATATCTTCATACCACTTATGAACTGAGTCCCTACATACCCAGGCATAGTGGGACCCTGCTATGAAGAGACCAAAGCTATGGCAGCTGGCAGCCACACAGAGTACTTCCTCCCATTTGTCCTCCCCTTATGTTTCTTTTCCCTTTGTTCAGGCAAAAACTATCCATCTGTCACCTCTGCCACCACCCACATTTCTCTAGAATATTTCAAAGTCTTTGAAGCAAACTGTAAACTATAAAACAATTGACAATAATTTCTACAATTCACCCAGTGGTACCTTGTGTCAGCTAAAATACCTTGTATATATGATTTCATTTAATCTTTGCCACAAGCTATACCTCATTAATCCTTTCATGGGAATTTTATGAACCCCAATTTCCAGAGAAGGACTGAGCTTAGAGAGGTTCTGCATGTGCTTAGAGACAGGAGAGGGAGTTAGGTGACTGATTAGTATACAACGGGCCCAGGACCACACTCATCCTGCCACTCTCTGATTGTTGTAGACAAGGAGCTGTATATCTGTAGATCTATCCTATGTCTGGGCCTTCATCTGCTAGGGATCTAAGGCCTCCTCTCAAAGTTAGCCATGGGGAATAGGGAAAGATGTCATTCTATGAAGAAGACTGGCCTGGGGAGGTAGGGATCAGGGAGGGTTGGCTGGGGATGAGCTGAGTTCATGAAGTCGGTGTGCATAGGAAGGCAAATCCCAAGGCCTAGGCACAGGCCACTCCTCATTTCTGTCCTACCAAATCTCTGGCCCCAGACTGCCTAGAACCAGGACTTCAGGTAGGCAGGTAAGCAGGAACAATGCAGGAATATTACCTTCTTACTACTTACATGAGGTGCAGATGGTGGGGTGTCTTAGGGCTCAAGAGGGAAGGGGAAGGGAAGAGAGGAGAAATGTAGTTAGTCTAATTGTCCCTACCTCCCTTTCAGCTCTTGTTCCTCTCATCCACTCAAGTCACCCTGCTCAACTCTGCAGGCCAGACCCTTATTCACCTAGCTCTGCCTCATTCACCTACACACTATTTTTGTGTGTGTGTGTGTGTGTGTGTATGTGTGTGTGTGTGTGTGTGTGTGTGTGTGTGTGTGTATGTGTGTGTGTGTTTTAGAAACAGGGTCTCCCTGTAGCCTCAGCTAGCCTGGAACTCACTATGTAGACCAGGCTGGCCTGGATCTCACAGAGATCCACCTGCATCTGCCTCTGCCTCCCAAATGCTGAGATTAAAGGTGTGCACCTCCAGGCCTGGCTACCTACACTAATCTCAGCTCCTCTTTTCTTACTCACCATTTCAATGACCCCCTCTTGGGGGGAGGACAAAGAGAGGAAATGGGGTAGGTAGGTGAAACAGAGGCAGGAAAGAGAAAGTAGCAGAGTCAATAACAAAAGGGAAGAGAGAGTCACAGGCAGAAGCATCCAGAGACAGAAAACAGAACAGAAGCAGAGGCACCTAGAGATCACTGAGGAGAGAAAATCTTAAAATGAACACCAAGAGATGGAGCAGGGCTGAATTTCCATCTATTCTCTGTAGAGGATAGTCCTCTTATTATGCAAATGGCTTAAGGTGGCCAAAGAGGGGCATCTACTCTGTCCCCCTGTGGGTTACTACCTGAAGCTTTCAACAGATAATCTTCCTGACCACTATAATTGGACGCAAACTTCCCTCCTGGGTCTAGCCCCCTATTTCTTCTGGCCCTGCTCCCCTGTTTCTCAAGGCCCCAGGATATAATCTAAGAAGAGGGGCAGGTGCTGAGAGAAGAAGGAACAGCTATGCAGGATGGGATGAGCAGGATTAAGGACAGTGTTCGGGCCTCAGGAGGTGCAGAGAGGTGGAAAGGAACAGAGAAAGTTCCAAAAATAGCAAACCTGACTGCTAGATGAGCCAGGAAAGGTAGGGGCTAGGATTCCATCACCTGCATTTCTCCTTCCCAGTGCAGAGTACTCCATCTCCATGCTATATATTCCAAGATAGGCCTGGGTCTTTGAGGTAATCTAAGTAGAGGCTGGAGCAAAAGATACCAGACACACACAGGTCACATTACCCAGCAAAGGCCTCTCTCTTCACCTGCACACAATCTTATTTTTTTTCTTAAGTGTAATTTACATCTTTTTAAAGTGCATGTGTGTATGTTTGTTTGTCTGTATGTGCACCACATGTGTGCAGGGACCTGTAGAGACCAGAAGAAAAGCATGTTAGATTCCCTGGAACTAGAGTTACAGACAATTGTTACCTGCCAGATGCAGGTGCAGAGAACCCCTGCAAGAGCAGCAAGGACTGCCACGACTTCTTTCCAGCTCCATGAACTTAGTTTTTTAAGAAATCTGAGTAAGGAGTTGGTGAGAGTAAACCAGAGTAGGGATAGATGGGAAAAGAATGAGGCTGGAAACAGAGGGAAAAGCTTGGACATTAAACAGGGACTTAGAGAGGGGTGGGGGATGGAGACAGAGCCTGGGAATCATTACTGAGCACGGTGAGTTTGGCACGCCGGGAGCGCAGGGCAGCTTCTGTAGCCTGGCACTCATAGGAAGCATCATCAGAGAGTTCAGCATCTGTTATCTCCAAGTTGTACTGTCCAGCATCCGCAGAGCCCACAACCCGGTACCGTGGCCAGGCTGAAGAAATAGAAAGGAGAAGATCCAGAGTGAGGCCCAGCCTTTAGACCAGAACCACCCTGTCCCCCACCCAGGACTCATTATCTACCTAGATCCTCCCCAAATCAGAACCCACATCCATTCCAGGTCAGCTCTCCTCCCTTTGCCCTTTGCTGGGCATCACTGGCAGTGAGACTGTGTATTCCCAGACAAAGACTCCATAATATTGGAACCATAAAGCAGTAGGGGAGGAACAGAAGTGAAAGATGACCATAAGCAGTTGAAATCTCCAAAGTTCTTTGCAGACAAGTGGCTCTCATAATGATACAGAGGAAGAAGAATGGGGAGAAAAGCATTCAGCAAGGAGGAAAGTAGAGAGAAGTGAGTGTGTAGGTGCTGGTGAATATAAGACACTGCAGCAGACATGAGCTTACTGAGGCACTTATAGGTGCTCACGAGGCCTTGTCCCCATTCACCATGGAAAGGGAATAAGACAGGGTTTGCTGGATCCTCAAAGAAGCCCCTTAAGTGAGAGTTCTGTTTTCTTTTAAAGAAGTAGCTGAAGCGGTGGGCCTCTCCATCCCTTGCTCTATAGGCTCTCACCCTCCACCACATCCCTGCCCACCTGTCTCCCACTGTCTTTCTCTATTCAGAGGCTATGGATTCTTCTTGCTCTGTATCTATTGATCTCAGTCTCTCCCAGTTTTTCCCTCTATCATTAATAGATTCACCAGACCCACCTCTTTTCTTTATAGATTGTTCCATGCAGATTTCCCCCACTGTAGTAAAACATGGAACCCACAGCAAATAATCTCACCACCCTCAAAAATAATAAGGCTAGAAATGTATAGTCCCCACTTACTCATATTAATCCAGCACTTGTGTACCTTCAGAAAGCACATTTTCTCATTTGGTGTTAAAAACAAGGGTACACTTTCAAGGCAGACAAACTATGACTATTCAACCTACTTCACAAATCAGCTAGCCAAGGCCCAGAGAGCAAAGGAAAGTGGCTTTCTTCAGGTTATGCAGTGAGGCAATGGCAGAGGCAGAATGAAAGTCTGGTATCCTGACCCCACCTACTCTGCCAAGAAGAGCTTCCAAAGATCTCTGTGTTTGCTTTGGAATACAGGAGATTATTTATTTCATTTTATTTTTCGGCATTTTTAGTTTTTGTTTCTGACTGCATCTTTATGTTTTCTTTAGCACTGGATACATAGCCTGTGCTTAACAGATGCTTGTAGAATAAATAAAAAAGAAAGTACTTAGGCTGATGTCAAAATTAATTTTTAGTCTCTAACCAGACATGGACTATGCAGGGAGAAAAGAGAAGCATGAATCATTTGAGAGACATAGTACTTGAATTCACCACCTGTGTGTGCTGGCCTGTTCCAAACTAGTGAGTGCTGGCCTGTTCCAAACTAGTACCTCCTCCTTGGCCTGCTTGTCTGTAGCACCCAGTGGTGGTGGTGTCTCCCCACCTGTTTAAAGCTCTCTAGGCAAAGGTCTATTTCCCTTCATCCCCAGACTGCACATTGCCTGTCTTGAGCCAGTTCAATAAAGGTGTGAAAGAAATAGACCCCCAGGAGAGGAAGGGAGGAGCCAGAACACAGGAAAGTAAGGGTTGGCACATCTAGGAACCCTAATTGATAGTAGAGCACAGGATGTCTGTGTGCTGGGCGGTTTAGCAGCAGTCTGATTCACCCTTTTTCTTTTCTTCTCTTTTTTTTGTTTGTTTATTTTATTTTGTTTTGTTTTCAGTGCTAGGGCCTTGCACATGATAGGCTAGCAATCCACTACAGGTACAGTCCTAGCCCACCACTCACCTTTGAGGCCCTGGCCCATACCCAAGGCCAGCCCATCCTTGGTCCATTGAACAATCCCAGAGTAGTTGAGGAGCACACAGGGGAGCACAGCCCTCTGTCCAGCCACCACAGTCTGATCAGCTGGTTCCTGGCTGAAGCGGGTCTGGGTCCCTGGCAAAGCCAAAGTCAACAGTGTGTAAGGAGATGAGTGAGGAGGGCTCCACTTCTTAGGATCCCACTTCCATCCTGCAATCCAAGCCAAGCCGTCCTCCTCATACTCCAAAGATGTCACATGTTCCCCTTTCTTCACTCTCCTGTTCTGGGTCTCAGGTGCTGGAGGACTTAGCGGGCATAGAAATGGTTTGGCTTTACCTAAAAGTTTACAATTGGAGCTGGCCCAGCCCTCACATTTTGAACACTGAAGTTCAGGGAGGAGCACTTAATTAACCACCACTCGGTGAGTTAACAGCAGGACTGGGGTTAGAGTTCAAACGCTTGCTGCCCAGGTCCTGGGCTGTTCTGTAACCCCACCAGTATCTATTGCCTTCCCCTAGACACTCAGGTTTGTGGTGATGCAGTGTGAGCCAATATCTGTGCACTTCACCAAATACAATTGCAGGTATGCCTCTAGTAAATGCACAAGTATAGACTGCGGGGAAGCATGTCCAATCCATTTATCTGTGTGCATAGAGGCTTCCTAGGTGATAATACTTCCAAAGCCAAAGAACCCCGTAGCGAGTTTTCAGAACACTGACCCTGTTCCATGTGTTAATCCTTGACCCAAGGATTAAGGCACAGGGATGTACACCCCGATGAACTTGCATGCACACAGCCTTCTGTACCATGGGAGCTGAGACAGTGTGGGACTTTGTTCCACTCTCCCACTGGCTCCAGGAGCTACACATGGCTGCCTGGCTGGCAGCTTGGCTGGGAGGATTTGATTAGAGAACTGCAGAGTAATTGTCTTTAATTGTGGAGCCTAAATGGAGCAGGGAATTGGATTGCGGGTTTCTTCTCCCCTATTGCTCCCACTCACTGCCTTGCTCCATCACTGGTAGGCCCCAGTGGTGAGGCAGGCCTGTACACTGAATGCAGCACAGGAGCTATGGGCATCAACTTCCTTTGCAGGGGTACAGGGAAGAAGAGAGAATGACGAGGGTTCAGCAAAGGGCTAAGTGTGGGGCTTTCTTGCCACATTTCTAATAGGTCGCGCTGGGTAATCAAAATTAGCTCTCCTCAAAGTTTAAGATCCTTATTCTTCTATTCTTCTAGCTCTCAGAGTTTGCAGAGAGAGGCTACAACTTCCTAATCCAATCCCTTCTAAACCCAGCTTCCCAATTCACCCCCCCCCCAATTTCAAGACCTCCCTCTCCTCCAGTGCAGAGGTTCTCCCCACTTTCAGCTCAGTGGATTAAACCAAGGGTATTTTCAGGAAGCACTCTACCAGTCAGTGACAGCTCAAACATGACATCCTAATCTTACCCTTTCCTTTCTTTTCTCTCCTCAGGCTCTGTTCCTCCCTTTGTTCCAAATTTGCCCCACATTTTCCTTTCAGTAAGCCCTCTCAGGACTGACTTCCAGTCCTGTTCTAACGGGGTTACTTTTGCTGGAGGGAGTACCTCCACCTCTTGCCTATCTCTGCCTCTGCTAATATGGCCAGCCTCACTTGAATGGGAAGGACAGTATCCTGCCTTTTGTTCCTGCAGAGGTTTCACAAGGCTGAACTTGGGTATTTGCTCCTCCCATTTCACCCATTATCCAACTTATTCAGAACACTCTTCTGTGACTTGCAGTCAAGCCTTATGCCAAGTAATGACGTGGCTTGGGACATGATGACATAGTCCAGACTCAAAAGTTGGGTATGGACTGGGAGAAGTAGCCAAAGCAGTGTGGTCCTTACAATAGCAGAAGTGAGAAGTCAATAGGTCGGCTCTGAGACTATGCATTTAAGTTATGGAAGGATTCCCAAGTGATTATTTCAATTCTCAGAGAGGAGGGGAAAGCAGTATCTTTCACAGGCCTGTGCAAGGGCATGAGGGGTAACCTACATCTGGCTTATACAGAGTTTAGAGAATAAGACTTGGTGAGGTTAGACTCATAGCTTTCCCTAATTACAAGCCAACTTGAGTACCACCCAGGGCATCTGGACTCTCTCGAATGCCCGCCGCAGTGCTGTTTGGGACTCTGCATACTGTCTGTTAACTTTTGCACAGAATGTAGGTGCCTTCCCATGAATTCACATCGTGAGACCCCTTCATTTCTTCATTTCTTTGGACTCTAACAGGTATTACTTCCATTCTGCTTCCAGGATACTTTGCTTCAGTTAGTCCTAACCAAGAGTAATTTTATGTCAAAATCCCCAGAAAAGCAGATGCCATGCTTTTATCACATCCTTAGGGTCTTGGAAATCTCTCCAATGTCTACCTCTAGTTGTCTAACCTCTCAGGGGTAAATAATGATCATAGCTACTCTCTAGTAGTTTATGTACAGTACTGTGACTGTCCTGATATCCACCTCACCGACATTTGACCTCACAGTAGTTCAGGAAGAAGGTGCAATCATTCCATAGTCTGCCAGGGAAGAAAATGATGTTTAGAGGTAACTTGGCCAGCTAACTAAGCAGCCAGGAAGAGCAGCAGAAGGACCATAAAAATCTTTTTAGTCTTCTAAGCCCATTCTCCAAGTATCTGAGCAAAAACATTCTTTGGCAGTCTAGTCCAGATTTGTCATCTTACAGTGAGCAAGTGGAGGCCCAGATAAGGAACTGACAGGCCAGGGTCACCTGCACCTCACTCCAGCAAGATATTTGTCTCCCGACTCCAGGTGTATCCCACTGCCATCCTACTGCAGGGTCATTGCCTTGGTACAAGTACACAAGCAGCCAGTTGCCCACTGTCCTCTGGAGGTGTCAATAAGAGGCCAGGTCTCAGGATTCATGTTGGAAAGCTATGAATATGAATCCTGACTCTGATCCAAACTCACAGGCTACCCCTATTACAAGCCCTTGACTTGGACTCTGGGGGCCTTGAGAAGGAGAAACAGGAGTACAGAGAGTTTGCAGCACAGAGCTGCACTAGAGAAATGCGCAAGGATGTGAATAAATTTGAATAATAATGAGGGCAATGGTTGAATTAATAATGATGGCTGTTCACCTGACCCAGGCTCCCCCAAGATCTCAGCACCTGCTAATGCTTGTCCCTAGAATAGGAATGAGCCTCATTTTCCTCAGTAGAGACAGGATGGGAAGAGAGGCCTGCAGAGTTGGGGAGCCACTCACAAAACAGAGAGAAGGACCTTGTTTCTATCTTCCTGGCCTCCTGCAGATCCAGAGCTGACAGAGCTGGCACACTTAACCAGGAGCAAACACTGCTTCCCACACCATAATATAACCACAGATTCCAGGAGATCCAGAAGGAGGAGAGAGTCCCCTACTTCTCTTCCCCCTGTGAGAGAGATTCCATTCCAGTGGAACATATAGGGCAGACACCTCCACCAGCAAGCTGCCTTCCATCTCTTGACAACAAAAACATGGACACAAGCTCTGACAGAAATCCTGCAGATAGAGCTGGCACATCGGGGCTGAGTGGTGGGACAAGGCTTGACTGAAAAGCACAGAAGAGTGTTCTGAGTAAGTTGGATAATGGGAGAAATGTGAAGAACAAATACACAAGTCCAGCCTTGTGAAACCTCTGCAGGAACAAAAGGCAGGATACTGCCCCTCCCATCCAAGTGGGGTTGACCTCACTGGAAGGGACAGAGATAGGCAAGAGTTGGAGGTGCAAAGACCTTAGCACATACCAAGAGGGTCTGTTCTGACTCCATCGGTGTAGGAGCTGAGATCTTAGCAGACCCCTGAGAGTGCCTGACCCAGCCTCCCTTGGGCCTAGGGGTGGAGAACTCATCAGACCACCTTATAGTGCCTGGATCCAGCCTCCACATGGTGGTGAGCTACCCTAAATCTCGCCATCCCAACTCCCTAACTGGGATTACCTGAGGCCCCATGCACACCCCAAGGCAGACCTCTACCCTCTGGTAGGGTAAGGCTGAGGGCCTTAGCAGACAGCCTGAGAGTACCTGCTCTAGCGTCCCTTTGGCATAGGGGCTGAGAATTCAGCAGACCAGCTGACAGTCACAAAATCGGGCCTCCACTCAGGGAACTTCCCAAATTGTGCTCTGAGTACCCACTAATAGAAGGCAAAACTTTAGAAGAAGTCTGGGTGTACCTGCCTGGAGCCTGTCTTGGGCTTTTGTGGGCACTCTGGGGTAGCTGATCTGAAGCCATCAGTCCCCTCCAAAATAAAATCTGAGAGACCTGAAACCTAGACCAACCAGTTTTACAAACCCAATAAGAAAACAACTAAGGCATACAAATAACACAAACAGCAGCAAACCTCAACTTAACAAAAGAAGACTTGATTTTCATACCAGAATCACAAACAACAAAAGAAATTCACATGCCAAAATCACAACAAAAATAAAATGGAAAGCCAAAACACTACATCTCCACCAAACTCCACCAGTCCTGTAGAAGAGTTCAACAAGGAGAACCCCCTAGAAACAACTAAGACAGAATTTAAAAGAATAATCATAAACATGATTAAGGAATTCAATGAATATAAAGAACACACAAACAAACAAATCAAAGAACTAAAAGAAGATGTGGATAAACTGCTGAATAAATTAAAAAAAAAAAAAAGAAAGAAACATTGAAGAAAACTCAGGCCAAAATGAAGAAGGAAGTGGAAAACTCAATAAGCCAACTTGAAACAACAGGGGAAAGTTTCACTGCTAGAATGAATGAAATGGAAAACAGAACATCAATACAGGAGGATAAAGTTGAAGAATTGGACCACTCAAGCAAAAACAATGAAATTTTTTTTTTAAAATGCAGGAATGGAATATCAAGAGATGTGGGACACCATGAAAAGAAGAAATCTACACATCATAGGCACAGAGGAAAAAGAAAAATTTCAGGTTAATGGTATTGACCAGAACTTAGACAGGATTGTAGAAGAGAATTTCCCCAAATTAAGGGAAGACGTCCCCATACAAATACAAAAAGCACATAGAACACCAAATAGACAGGACCAGAAAAGAAACTCCCAATGGCATGTCACAGTAAAAACACTAACTATACAGAATAAAGAGAGAATACTGAAAGCAACAAAAGG